CGCCAGGGCTCCTCTCTCAGCGGATAAACAGGGGTAATTGTCCCTAACAAAGCTGCCAGCTGATTGCTATCGACCAGTGGAAGAGCAAGCCAGTCAAGACAGGAGACAGCAGGCAGACAGACAAAATGCAACCTTCCGACACCTCTTGCCACTCTCTACCCTGCCTCAGGCCATTTTCAACCAACTGTCTCCATTCTCTGAGCACACCCCCCTCCCCACACACACACCTGATCTAGAGCTAGGGGAGGCTTTCACCAAACTTCTCCCCTCACACTAGCCCCATCATCTGACCCTCTGTGGGTTTCCAAAACTGTAACTGTTCACGGGAATAGAAAGCCCAGCCCTTCTCCCATAGAGATGCTGGTGGTTTCGAAGTGCCGACCTCGCAGATCACAGCCCAACTCGAAACCACCGCTCCACCAGGATTTCTTAGCCCAAAGAAATAGCTGAGAAACAAACCAGCTCGCCAATGGTCCACTTGCCCATGATTCACTGAGTAACCTGTCAATGAATGGATCAGCGAGTGGCTGACCAGCACACAAGTCCAGGCCTCCCGCAGAGCTTTCTGTACTCACGTGGGACAAGGTCGGGGCTGTGAAGCAATCACGGTTAGCCCAAGCAGGGTCTTGACGAGCCCAGTGCACTAAGCACCACCTCCGAAGACCAGAGGCAGCACAGGCTCCTGATCAGTGGAGACAGGCCTGAGCTGCCCGGGGTTCACCTTCCTTGGAGCTGCTCTCTGTGCAGGCGGAGGCAGCAGGGAAGCCATCCAGAGATGTCTTTTACTGGCCATATCTGCTGCCAAGGGCCTCTCCACGACGTGTCAAAGAGCAGATGCCACTTTGAGGACTCAGGTGAGCCAGCCCCAAGTCATGGCATTTCCCATTGCTTCCTATGCAAATGTGAGCTGACCAGAAAGGAAGACATACGGATAACTCTGAATTATGGTGTTGGTGAAGAATCCTGATAGTCCATGGACCGTCGGGAGAGTGAGCCCCTCTGCCTTGGACAGCCGCTCTGTTTTATGCACTTTGTCTGGAGGGAGCAGTCCCTGGAGAAGGACAAGGAGGGCCAGGAGGCCCCTCAACAAGATGGACTGCCCCGTGGCTGCAGTGTTTACGAGGAGGGCAGCGTTTCCCTCCGTGGGGCCTTGGGGCTGGCGTGACGTCACTTCACAACAGAGCAGCAGGTAGGTCCTGGGGAACCGGATAGTCTCCCTGACGGGTCTACACACCCCTCTGACCTGCTCCACCCCTCTGCGTCAGCCTGCGCCCAACAAGACACGCTTGCTGCCGGGACATCTAGTCCTTAACTTCATATTCGAAAAAGGTAGAATTAAGGGGCCTGGAAGAGTGACAACTCCATCGGACTCTGGCTCGTACTTGGCTCTCTGCGAACTTCTTTATACACACTCAACATCACCACAACCCCGCAGCAGATAACACCTCATGAATGGAATCAGCTTTGCGATTGGCCCGAGGTCAACAGCTCTATGGGTGGTGGTGGTGGTGGTTGGGGGGGTTGCCCAGCTCTGTAATGTGCAGAACTTGTGCTCTTATTACTGGCTTAGTCTCTGCCTCTGATAATCCCCAGGGTTCCTCGGGGCAGCCCTCGGGAGCCTGGTGGTTGAGCAGTCCAAGAGCTGGGTTGAGCAGTCCAAGAGCTGCTCCGTGGTCCACTGTCTGCCAGGGCGTGGAGGAGCCCTGTGCTCCAGCTGAGCCTGGCTGGGGCCTCCAGAGACTTGGTGCGAATTAGAGAAGGATTTTCTTGAAGTGGGCACAGCCTCCAGCCCACAGGTGGGCAAGTACAGGTGAGCTGCAGTCATTCCCCTCATGAGTGCTTCTGTACAGTGTACAACTTGCAGAACAGGCCTGGTCTGGCTCTGGTAGCCACATAAGAGGCCCTCAGGAGGCTCAACTTTTTTTTTTTAAGCACACAACACTTCTGGGTTGTAAAAACACCTCTTCGTGCAGAAAGAGGTCAGAATCACCTCTCACATGCAGAGAAATCGGTGCTCAAGACAGGAAGAGAACAAGCTAAAAGGCCGACATGTGTGGAAAAGACAACCGTTCGTCCATTCACCTGGCAGCATGGCCTCACCACACCCAGGGCCTTGGCACCTGAGGGAGGAAGTGGGAAGAGTGCTCACTCAAGCAGGTGCCTTCCTTCCCCACAGCATTGCTGGGCGATGGAAGCTTACTTGAGGCTAGTCCCACCGCCCTTATTTCCATTTATTTGTGTGCACTTCACAGGAGTTTGCATAGGCCACCAACATCCCAAACCTGCTTCTTGTGTTGCGACCTACCAATCACAGAGTGGGTGTCCCAGGCTCCAAACCAGAAAGTGCCCTGGAAGATGCCTGAACACCACTCATCTTCCCACTTTAAAACTCAATCTCATCGCCATCGAGTCGATTCCAACTCAAAACGGCCTTACTGGGCAGGACAGACCCACCTCGCTGGGTTCCTGAGACTAACTCCTTATGGGAGCAGACAGCTTCGTCTTTCTCCTGAAGAGTGGCTGTGGTTTCAAACTGCTGACTTTGGGGTTAGCTGCCCAACTTATAATTCACATGCCATTAGGGCTCCTTTAGAGATCACCAAGGGTCGAGCATCCCCCTTCAGCCCACCTCTCATCCTCTCCTCTTGGTCCTCACTTGGCTCCAACCATGTGTAGGTCACTCAATTGGCCTCTACACCAGCCCCCTCTTCTTCGACTGCTTCCTGCAGGGCTCTTCCAAAACCCTCCACAGAGTCCTGGCAGCCTTCAAAATCAAGCCTGCCTCCTCCTGGTCCCTGTGCACAAGCATCGACCACACCTCCTGCACTTTAACCAGCCAAATCACAGGGTGCTCCCTGACGTACCAGCCATACCACACCATGCCTCCAAGCTTTGTTCAGAGGCTCCTCTACCCACAAAGTCCCAGTCCAAATGACTATGTGATGTTGGCCCTCCAAGATGGCCAACCATGCCGGCCAGAAAGCCAAGGAGTCAGGATGACGGACCAGAGGCCATCTGATCTCGAAACCAGGCAGGGTCTACTGAATGGATTCTGTTCTGACTCCTGGACCGCCACTGCAGTTGTCTGTTAGGGATCTGCCTCTTGCCTTTCGGTTTAGTAGAAAACAGGTCCCCTTGGTAGAAGAGATGTCATCTCACTCATGGTGTGGAGCTCGATGTCAGGGTTGCTTCTGAGATGCCCCCCCCACTCACCCCCCTCCCTCCCAGGGCTGAACGGTGTAGGAGGAGCCTAGCTGTTCTCAGTGAAGGATATAACTGTTGGTCCAAGTTCAGAAACATTGTATTTGCATACAGTTAAGTGTCTAGAGAACTCCTGGACACCAGAAGGGGGGAAGGAAGGGCTGTGGCATGGGCAGGTTTCATGGCCTGGGGCCGCCAGGTGCATCACAGCAGGGGTGTGACAGGTGGCTTGGGCTCTCTCCAGTGAGCAAGGGGTGCTAACTGGCTTAGCTGATTTATTCTTCAGGGCCAGACACCCAAAGAATAAGGAGGATGACCAAACTCTGTCCCCGGGCCTGATATACCAGGAAAGCGGCCCGTATCCTGTGTCTGCAGATGTATACTCTATCAGTGTACTCTTGGCCCTCTCGTCCTCAATCGATACACAACTGTTTACAAAGCCTTAATGCCAATTCATTCAAAGGGGCTTCAAGAAGTTTGTGGAATTTTTCTACTATCTTTTCATTCCAAATTTTTCACAAACTTTTGGACCCAGCTGCCGTGGAGGTCAGCTCAACTGCTAGCAGCCGCCTGCCAGATTAGAACTGCGACCTGGAGGGTTTGCCATGGCTGCTCTTTCCTGCCAGGCAGCCTCAGGGTGAGGGTGGGGGGTGGGCCTGGAGCTGCCAAGGTTTCATCCCAGCCGAGCTGCAGGGCTGTCCGGGGGAACTACCAAGGTCTACTTTCTCTCTGTTTAGTAGAAAGTAGGGGGTCCCGGTGGCACAGTGGGTGCATGCTGGGCTGCGAACTGCAAGGTTACAGCAATGCAAAACCACTGGCCGCTCCATGGGAGAATACTGGGCTTTTCTACCCCCACAAAGACTCTCAGTCTTGGGACTCATAGGGCCGCTCTCCTCCGTGTCTGCGGGCAGTGAGTCATATAAAATAAGGTGTAACGCGGACCCTTCTGATAGTTTTCTCCCTTTGGAGGTGAGTGCCATGGGCTAGTGTGGAGGGTCGCTGACCTAACTGGGTTTTAGGGTATGAGCTGCAGGCCGGGGGAAATGAGAGTTCTAGTGGCCTGTGGACATGTCCCGCTGTGGCCCAAGTGTGTCCGGAGGCCACCTGAGAAGCTGGAGCCCAGAGGAGCGGTTGGCCACAGTCCGACCCTTGGGAATGGGCTGACACCCACCTTGCCAGCATTTCTCAAATTCACCTCGTTCCCTCTGATTGCAGTAAGTCAGAGGTGAGGCCTGAGACCTGTTGATTTAAGCAAGCAGGCCAGGTGATTCAGAGAACCTTAAGTGTTTAAGAATCCCCAGTTCAGGTCATTCCACTTCAGGGAATGGTGTGAGTGTGAGTGTATCCCTACTGGGGGAGGGAGAAAGAGAAGCCTACCACAAAACGAGGGCAGCCCATGGGTCTTGGTCCCGACTCTCAGCCCCACCCCAGCGCTCCCAGTGTCAGTCCCACCCCTCTACCCACCAGCCTGCCTCCGCATAAGGGAGCCAGAGCCCCTTTCTGTCATTGCTGATTCCCAGATGAAAGTTTGTGCTCTGCGCTCTTCCCTGGATTCACAGGTGGCTACTGTTTGCTGGCCAGCCACTTTGCGGAGCCCCAGACGCCTTTGTTTTTCCCTGGCCGTGGCCTGTCTGTGACTTTTCGCTCAAGCTCAGTGGCCTTTAACTGAAACCCAGGTGGCCCTCTGGCAGCGCCGCGGGGTCAGCAGCTGGGGCCGCGGTAGGGCTCCCCCCACTTGGGTCTTGGGCACCTCGGCCGGCCCCCGCCCCTTGCGCCCCCCACCCCGCGGCCCCGCTCACCCAGGCCGGCAGGTGCTGGCCCAGCAGCTCGCGGCTGATGAACTGGCGCTCGTTGTCCAGGAACTCGAAGGCGGCAGCCAGGCGCCCGAGCTTCCCGTCGCGGTTCCGACGCCACCACATCCACAGCAAGGCGCCGAGCAGCAGCCAGGTGATGCTGAGCCCCAGGTAGCCGGCGAGGTAGACGGGCGCCAGGTAGAAGAGCACGCGCGCCGCGAACGTGTAGAGCTCGGGCAGCAACTGGCTGGCCAGGCGCGGCTCCGGGCAGGGCGTCCGCTGGCCTCCGGGGACACCCGGGCCCCGCGGGGCACTCGAGATATCTGGGGCGCCGGGGGCGCAGGGCTCTTCCGCTGGCATCTGGTCGCCTCCTTTCCAAGAGCTTCACCTGAACTCAGGTCCCCGCACCCAGACCCGCGGGCACATCTGTTCAATCCCAGGCCCCGGCCGCGGCTAAGCTCCTGTCCCGCCGCTGAGGTCTAGGCGCTCCCAGCGCCCGCCCTGCGAATGCAGGAGCAGGGCCGGGCGGCCCAGGCGCTCTGCTGCGGGCGGGGCCTCCCATTCTGGGAGTCTCCTCCCCCAGGTGGCAGAGGGCGGAGCCAAACACATTCCAGGGACTTGGCAGACTCTCGAGAGGATGCCACACGTGAGGGCGCCTTCGGGTCCCAGTGTCCCTCCCAGTCATCGGCCAGCGGGGCGCTGTCGCCAAGGCCAGACCAGAACCCAGTATGGACCAGATGCGCTCCAGTCAGAACATGACTCACTGAAGTACGTGGGCGGCAGCTTGTCATAGATAAACACCACCTCAAACCTGTTCCTGCACCCAGTCTACAATATACAGACTCAGTTAGACGCTAGCCCCTAAAGTGGGCGGGGGTGGGGGCACTGACTTGCCTCTGGACCTCCCACTGGTCCCTACATACCTGTAAGGCTGCCCCCTCCTTTATGCCCGCCCAGCCTCTGGGTGCTCAGGCCCTCACCCTCCACCCGCCCTCTTCAGTCCTTACTGCAAAGTATTAGCTTGGATCGTCTCTCTTGCTTCACCACACCTCGAGCTGACAGGTCGCTAGTTTAGGAACAAAGGGGGGAAGGAGGTGTCTTCTCGAATGCCTGCCCTAGCGGAAATTAGCTGTCCATGCCACAGTGAGGGGGCTTGGAAAGGAATCAGGTACACTAATTAGACACCTATGGGAATATCCAGAACTGGGCATGCTCATACCCAAGTCACCTAGCCCCCAGGTGGGAGGTCCACCTGGGCACACAGACTAGGCACTAGCGATGTGACATCACACAGGTGCACCTGAACTCAGCCAATAAGGTCGGCCAATATCCTCCACCTCGCCCTCCCAGCCAGTGGGGGTGGGAGGGGATAAAAGCAGACTGCAGGCCCCTCCCCCTCCTCTACTTGTTCAGGTGCGTGTTGCAAGCGCAGGCTGAGATTCCTCCCCCAGGCGGGCATGACCGCTGGCAGCCTGCTCACTCTCTTGGGATTTCCTGCTCTTGGCTGCGCACACTGGTTCCACTCCTTCCACGTGTTTTTCCACATTCCCCTGAAACAACCGTTTTTCAGTCTTGAACTCCCCCCACGGTTCCCGCCATGTGGCCCTACATGCTTTCCTTTTGAGACTGTGATACTTGAAACTTCCCTTTCCTTCATAGAAGTTGCTTGGATTTATATAAGTGCTCTGCTGCATGAATTCTTTCAGTGTGGAGAAGCAAGGACCGAGGTATAAACCACTCCAGAAACCTAACAGAGCTCTCAGCAGCCAGATCTTGGGCTCCTTCCCGGGCACCCCACGTAGCAAGTGGCCGGCAAATGGCAGAGAAGGGAGTGATCCGGCAGATGTGCGCCTGTTGTCTCCATGGACCCTCCTGGAAGGAGCAGACCCAGCGCTGCATCTCCCGGTTCAGGGAGGCAATCGGCTATGGAGGGCATACGTTTTAAGTGGCTCACACGAGAGGGCACATCCTTTACTGAAAGGTGATGCTTTTGGAGTTGTGGAGGGTACAGAAAGGATTCAGAAGGGCTGGCTTTACTGAAGGATAAATGCAGGGACAGGAAGCAGAAGATGCATTCCCTTTTCCTCTGCCCCACTCAGTTCTTTCTCTCTCTCTCCAGGGGTAAAGTTGTTTACAACCGTACATGTGTTCCTGGTGGTCAGAATATCTATCCCCTCTTCTACTGCTCTGGGCTTTCCAGGACTCAGCCCGAGTTGAAGCTGAAAACCAGGGTTGCCAGGTGCGACGAATCACTTCTGATTCCTTTCGACATTTCAACCCCACGTACAGCAGAGGGAGACCCCGCCGGCCCTGCTCCAGCCTCCCCCTTGTTAATGAGCAGAGATGTCCTGAGAGGACTGGTATGCACCTGACCCGCGCCAAGGTATTTTCAATCACCCCAGATGTATGGACAAGGAACAAGGAGAACAGGAGCAATGATGCATTTGAATTATGGTGTTGGAAAAGAATATTCAATATTCCATGTAGTCCCACCACTTGTCTGTCAGTTTGTCATATTGTGGTGGCCCGTGTTGCTGTGATGCTGGAAGCTATGCTCCAGGTATTTCAAATACCAGCAGGGTCACCCAAGGTGAACAGGTTTCAGCAGAGCCTCCAGACTAAAACCAGACCAGTAAGAAGTCAGAGGAATTGGCTTCGGAGAACCTTATGAATGGTAGCAGAACACTGTCAGATGTAGAGCCACACGAGGAGGTAGGTCCTCGGGTGGGAAGGCGCTGGGAACATGAGTGACGAAGAGATGCCCTCACAACGTCGAGCCCATCAGAATGACCTGGCAGGAGTAAAGCTCTGGGGTCGTCATTTACTGCTGAGGTATGACTCAAACTGGCGAGAAAGAACTGCAAACTTCTATTTATAATCAGAATGCGGGCTGTACAAAGCGTGAATCTAAAGACGTTGGAAGTTGTCAAAAAGTAAAATGGAACACATAAAGGAACACATCTAGGCATTAGTGAGCCAAAATGAGCTAGTACTTTGAATTTGTTTACTATGCTAGAATGACAAGTTCAAGAGGAATGCGATGGCGTTCATCACCAAAAATGACATTTCAACATCTGTCTTGAAGTATACTGCTGGCTGTGATAGGTTAACAGCTATATGCCTACAAGAAAATTCGGTTGATACAACTATTTTTAAAATTTACACACCAATCCCTAAAGCTATGATGCAGAAATTGAAGGATTCTACCAACGTCTTCAGTCTAAAATTGATCAAAGATGCACTAAAGGTACACTGATAATTTTTGGCTATTGGAATACAAAAGTTGGAAACAAAGAGGAAGAAAAGGACTTTGGTGATAGAAATGGCGCTGGGATCGCATGGTAGAATTTTGCAAGACCAATGACTTCTCCATTCCAAATAACCTTTTTCAACAACATAGCAGCGACTACATGTAGCCTTCTCCAGAGAGAGGACAGAAATCAAATCGACTGGCCCGATGGGAAGAGATGATGGAGAAGCTTAATTATCAGCAGCTAAAACCAGGCCTTCTTCATAGCTGATTCCTTCTGCATTGTCTGGAAGCCCCACTGAAGCCCAGTCACTGTGGGTGACCGTGCCGGTTGAAATACCAGAGACATAGCTTCCAGCATCACAGCAGCACACGAGCCACCACAGCACGACACACTGACCGACAAGGGGTGGTGTACATGAGTCCGTTCCCACTCACAGGGACACAACAGAACAAAGCACTGCTCAGCGCTGGGCCAGCCTCACAGTGGTTGTGTGTGAACGCACTGTTGCAAACACTCTCTTGCTGAGGGGCTTCCTGTTTTTTTGTTGGTTTTTTTGCTGACCTGCTTGAGCAGTTACGGACAATATTTCTCTTTTACTTTATCATTTGATTAGGGACTCATACAACTCATCACTATCCATACATACATCAATTGTGTGAAGTACATTTGTACATTCATTGTCCTCATCATTCTCAAAATATTTGCTCTCCCCCCAAGCCCCTGGCATCAGCTACTCATTTCACCCCCTCCCTCCCTGTTCCCCCTCCCTCATGAACCCTTGATAATTTATAAATTATTGTTTTGTCGTATCTTGCACTGT